TCAGAGCACTAACTGCAATACCATGCACTGTTGGTGTTTTCACAACTCTCTGAAACTCCACTGATGGGCTGGAGCACCAGAGAGCACTCCTAATAAGATGAAAATAAAAGCTGCAATAACGTCTTAATTATTTACATTGACCCAGTCCTCTAAGAGGACAAGTGGACCAAAACCACACCCTCCATGCACAACAGACCCACCTGATCCACTCACCCTAGAAGTAAAGAGCTCAGGTTTTAAACTTTTAACCTGTCTGTATGTTCACTGTGTACTTAACAAAAAATAGAAATAAGTGAAAACCCAGAAGCAGCCCATTTCTATGCCATGTTTTACTCATTCTACTCACTCATTATGGATGCCCGGGTACGTAAAGCACACATGCTCAGTGTATCTATTACATAGCAGCTTAGCATTTAGCACAACAGTGTCACCTTCCATTAGCAAAAAGATGCTAAAATTAGCACAGCAATTCTAATAGTCTAAATTTGCTCTGTGTGTGGGTGAGCTCAAGGTGGAAAACAGAGTAAAGGCCAAACCACACAGATCTCGACTGCTGAGAACAAGCAGCAACAAACAAGTACCTGTACAGACAGAAGTGTCCCTGTAGTCCTACACACACAACCTGTCGTAACTACAACCTGCCGTCCAACACCTTACTGCCCAAATCTGAATAAAAACCAATTGCAATGAAATCAAAAAGGTTAAAACCCATATTTATTTGAAAACAGTAGAAATGCAAGAGATAAAAGACTGAGCAATGTTATTTTTTTGCTTTTGTTTTTTTTTTTTAAAAGGTCATTTTTTACCCCTCTGCCTCCCAGCAAATTTCAAATTCCTATGTTGCTTTCTTCTCATTTACTGCAGTGACAATATTGTCAAAAAACCTGACCTCTGACCTTGAGGTCAAGGTCACCGGGATTGAAACTCTTCTGAGATTTTTAGTAAATGCACATATTGTTTATGTTTGAAACATCTATGTGACCTTGTTGTCAAGTCATTGCATTCACAAACTTAGCTATCCATGCCACCCGTCCGCCTGGAGGGGTGACGACTATACCCCAAACAAGCCACACTTAAAAAGAGTTTGTAAACAACTCAATTTTAGTAACTGATATTTTGTCTTTAAAACTGCATCCTGCTCTAGTCTCATAACATATTTTGAATAGTGACAAGCTAGTGGTAGGTGGGGAAATGGGAAGAAATGTGCACCACCTCAGAGTCACACAAACAGTTAAGAGGATTAATCCTGGAAAGTCGGAACATGTGTGCTCCTTGAGCAAACAAAATAGGTCATGGAAGGTGGTGGTAATAGCTCTGTGCAGCCCTCACTGAGCCAAACACTTACTAACAGAGCTTGAAAGCAGCGTAGGATTGCATAATCTGTGTTATATTATCCACCACATTATGAACTTACTTAAGGATAAAAATATGAGATTTAACACACAGAGAACAAAAAACATTGCCTATGCTTAATAAACTTGCCATTTCATTCTGGGAGCATTACAGATAAAGGAGAAGTTACTCACATGTTGAGCGTGGCACTGAGACAGAGGCAGATTCCTTCTCGAGAGCGGAAGTTCTTGTGCTTTAAACCAGGAAGCAGCCTTTCCCAAACATACTGCATGAAGGAGAACAAGAAGGATAAAAGTGTGAGCAAGAGTAAGAGAGAAAAAAAAAAGAAAAAGAAGGGGTGTCAGTAGGTCATCATCATCATCAACTCATCATTGGATGAGCAGTTTATGGAGTACAGAAGAGGGCACAATCTATGGAGATGAGCACGTGAGGCATGTGTAAATAAAACAAAGCATTATGGAGTAACTTGTGTAATTCCTCCAATATCCACAAGAGGGGGTGGATAGGTAGAGTGCAGGCCCTCTGTAGTTTTTTTTAATGCATTACTAATATGGAGGTGGCTTTAATTTGCCTGTATTTTTTTCTCTGCTGTGTCACATTTTTAGAATAACTTTTTCTAGAATAAGTACAACTCAATATACATGTCTTGTATAAAATTTAAATGACATTTGACAAAACTGTCTTCATCTTACATGTGGTACACTGGAGGATTTACCTGTTTAGGCAATGATTTGTGTGTGTGTGTGTGTGTGTGTGTGTGTGTGTGTGTGTGTGTGTGTGTGTGTGTGTGTGTGTCTCACCATTGGTGAGGCAGTCTGTTCCATGCAGCGAAGGATGAGGGCTTGGCTGTTCTCCCTGACCTGGTCCTTGCCATCACCCAGCCTGTCCACCAGGGCCGGCAACACTACACACACAGAGAAAGGGAGTGGGTGGTGAGTAAGAGTCTATGAAAAACAGTTCACTGTGCATGCCGCACATGACACCGAAACTCTACAAGATTTAAAAGCCAAAGATATTTAAGACAAACAAAAAAAACATTGCTGTACAAAGTTGAATGTTCATGCTTAATATCATATGAGTGTGTCTGATAAAAAAGGGGAAAAAAGGAAAGAAAGCTTAAGTAATACAACCATCAACACCGTAGCTTTGACTAGAAAAGGGGAATGAGAGGGCAGCAAATGGGAAATGGACCATGGCTAAAATAATGTCAAATGCCCCGGTGTCAGAGAGGCTGATGTAATGCAGTGACAAAAGAAAGCCCTTTCAATGCTGGAAAACCAAGCTATGAGAACTGCAAGTTACTCCAATTCTCCCAATTTAGGAATAATAATCTTTGTACATCTGTACTCTGAAATTGTTTTTTTGCTAATAATTATTAGTCCCTTTCCCCAAGCCTATCAGGTCTGTGGGGGGG